CCTGCTGAAAGAAGGCCACAACTTCCTAGTGGTCCAGTAGATGCATTGTTCAAGAAGGAAATAAAGGCTATTGCCTTTAACTTTGCTTCGTCAAATGCATAAGTGTCTCCCTCTGTGATAACTCCGGTGGAAATGGTTGAGCCATCCTTGCCCAATTTGCAGGTTTTAAGTGCCACTGGAAATGCAGGTAACGTGGAGGGTTATGCTCCAGCTAGTGCGTCAGTACCAGATTTATGTTCAATAGACAATTTACAATTGGATGATTTACTCATGCTGGACATAGAATGGATAGACTCCCTCTAGGTACAACGTATTTCAAGGTTTTGTTGCAGTAATAGACATGAACTGTTTGTTATTTATTCAGTGTGAGCATCTTTGTTGGAAACTGTTGCCAGGTAATGAGATCCCCGTTGAGGGGGGAGTGCTTAGAATGTTTGCAAACAACAAATTTTCATCTTTGGTAATCGCATTTAGTATTTGAAGTGCATGCATGCACGTATGGAAGGACAACACAAATTGATCGACACAATATTTAGTTTCACACTATGCTGTTGATCCGTGCTTTGTTGTGGGTTGTATCATTTTATTTCAACACAAGAAAATGAATGTACAGGTGTTGTCAATATATTTTTTTGACATCAAGAAAATAATTTAATTGTTAATCAAGAATCATATGTTAATAAATATTAAAAAAAAGTTAATGCGATGTGGTGCGTAGAATTGTAAGTTAATTTTTAACATAGTAGAAGAAGAAGAATGCGCTGTTGTTGTATTACAGTTGCAATCTCACCAGGTTAATTTTTAAATATTTTTTTAAGTAGGAAAACGTAAAGATGTTTACGATTGAATGAAATAAAGTTAAAAATACATGAATCCATAAATTGAGAAAGACTTATCAAAGTTATTGAATACTAAAATAAAAGGCTATATATATAGTTATTAATTTTTTTAATAATATATGTGAGATATTATTTTATTGAATACCATTCAATTTTTACTCTATTTTTTAATAATATTATAACATTCTTTTTACAACATTTGCAAGTTTTTTTTTGTGCAACTTGTCACGATCTTCTTCTTCTTTTTAATTTTCATTTGGTGTTTTTCATATATGTATGTATTTTTATCATTATATAATTAAATAAAAAATAATTTTTAAAAAATAAAATTATTAAATTTAATTAGATTATTGATCTAAGTTATGAATTTAAAAATATAGCTCGAATTGATTTAAGATGTTGTTGCTTTAATATTAAAAATATAATATTTAAAATTTTTTTAAGTTAAAATAAGTTTTGACTAGTCATCTAAATTGTTTTTAAACTTATAAAAAAATTATTATCATTTAATTTAATAAAAATAATGTAATGGCCCTTGCGACATAAGATTTATTTCTCAACTTCACAACTTAATTTTTAGTTACTCTTTATAATATTTATCAAAGCATATAATTCTCAATGTCAAAATTTAATTTCCTAAAGGACACAATTTTTTATAAATTTGATTTGATACATTCAAAAAAAAAATCTACTCTGGAGTATGCCGTGAGAAGCTTTATTGTTTTTTTATATTTTCATTTTAATAATAAAATCAAAGCTTTTCTTCTTGTTTTACGTGGACAAAATAATCTTTAGAAAGTAGAAGCACTGAGTTTTGTAGGAAAATTAAGTGCCTGAAATTTGAGCAATTATCTGAACTACGCTCGTTGAATCATGTAAGCTCCTTGTGACTGGTCTCTCTGTTTCCCTCTCTTCAAGGCAGCAAAGCAAAAGCATCTATACATTACTTTGAGTAGTGTAATTTAATTAGTTAGATTTAAAATTTTATAAAAAAAGTGAATAAAATTAATTGAAGTAGTACAAGCTAATTTGAATACCTGTATTAATTAAAACAAAAAAACAAAAAAAATCTATCCCAAGCACCAGTTCTCGGGTTATAGAAATCCGCTGTTCACTCGCTTTCATGCACAAGAGCCTGCCTATTTCTGTTAGCTTCTCCTGAGTGGTATTAGCCATCACGTAACTCCATGCTTTATTATATTATTTCCTACTACAGCTATAAATCCTTTCTGTGGCAGCCCTCCTTCTTCACACCCCTTTCACCTCCGATGCTGTCTGGGCTTACGTTGTTTCTCCTATAACCCTCTTGGTCTCTCCAGCGTTACTTGGTTTCATAAAACTGCTTCCGATGGCAGGAGAGCAGGAGTTGTTATCCACTGAAATTGTGAACCGGGGCATAGAGAATTCTGGGCCATATGCTGGATCTTTGAACTTCTCTGTGAGGGTTCGACGAGGGTTGCCGGATTTCCTCAACTCGGTTAACTTGAAATATGTCAAGCTCGGATATTCCTATCTCCTTAGCCCTGTCTTTTATTTCCTAACAGCGCCAGTTCTCATGGTGATCTTCAGTGCTCAGATTGGAAAGCTCTTCATCTGGCGAGATTTCTGTCTAAAATGTGACCCCATTGATGCACTTTTCATTGTGGGATTGTTGAGTTTAATTATATACATTTATCTTTATTTAAGCCCTCGGTCTACTTATTTAGTCGACTTTGCTTGTTATCGTCCACCAAATGAACTCAAGGTAATTAACTTGTGTTCTTCAAATCTTATAAAAAAAAAAAAAAAAACCTGTGTTCTAAATAGATCATTCTATCAATTGTTGTAAATCAAGTATCATAATCTTGCCACCAAAAACAATGTGGATTCACACACAGAATAACAGTAATTTCTTGTTATGTTGTGTACAGATTTCAAAGGATGAATTCATCGAGTTGGCGAAGAAATCTGGCAAATTTAATGGTGCCGCCATAGAGTTTCAGCGCCGAGCTCTCAAGAATTCTGGCATTGGAGATGAGACCTACATGCCTAGAATAGTTTTTCAACCTGGGCACAAGATAACACTAAAGGATGGCCGTGAAGAGGCAGCAATGGTCATGTTTGGAGCAGTAGATGACCTTCTTGCCGCCACAAAAATAAGGCCCAAGGACATAAAAATTCTTATTGTCAACTGTGGGATCCTAAATACTACCCCATCACTCTCATCAATGGTAATAAATCACTACAAGCTTAGGCATGATATTCAAAACTTCAATCTCGGTGGCATGGGATGTGCTGCTGGCATTATAGCTATTGATCTAGCTAAAGACCTTCTGAATGCATATCCTGGATGCTATGCACTGGTGGTGAGCACAGAAGCTGTGAGCTATACATGGTACAGTGGCAATGATATGAATATGCTCCTTCCTAATTGTTTCTTCAGACTTGGCGCAGCAGCCATGCTTCTATCCAGTTGCCGCCTTGACCGATGGCGATCTAAGTATGAACTGAAGCAGGTACTACCTCTATATTTTTCCTATTCCTTCAGATATTTCTTTTGACTAATCGCAATCTCAAGTCCCTATACATGTGTTGTCCCTATAGTTTTGTGCTAGCAGTGAAATTATATTATCATACTTGTCAAAGCAGAGCACTATTAACATTTCAAATTTGCTATGCAGCTAGTTCGAACTCACAAAGGCATGGACAACAGAAGCTTCAAAAGCATACATCTAAGGGAAGATGCAGAACGAAAGCAAGGTCTGTCAGTTAGCAAGGATCTGGTTGAGGTGGGAGGCCATGCACTCAAGGCCAACATCACCACTCTAGGCCCTTTAGTCCTTCCTGTGTCTGAACAAGTTCATTTTTTCACTAATTTGCTCTTCAAGAAGAAAAACAGACCATACATTCCAAACTACAAGCTTGCTTTTGAGCATGTGTGCATCCTAGCAACTAGCAAAAAGGTGCTAGATGAAATACAGAAGAACTTGGAGCTTACAGAGGAATACATGGAGGCATCAAAGAAAACTTTGGAGCGATTTGGGAACACTTCGAGTAGCAGTGTCTGGTATGAACTCGCTTACTTGGAGACAAATACAAGGATCAAACAAGGTGATAGGATCTGGCAACTTGCTTTTGGTTCAGGGTTCAAGTGCAACAGTGTTGTTTGGAAGGCGCTTGGGAATGTTGGGAAGCCCAAGCAGAGTCCTTGGATTCAGGATTCTAACTAAAGGAAATAGTAGGAGAGGTGGGAGTGAAAGAATATTATAGGTTTATATATGGAAATTGTTTAGTTTTTTTTTATGTATTTTCAGGAACCATGACTTAATGCCATTAGTACAATCTCAACAATGCATCTCAGGAAAATTTCCTAAAAATGCATTAACTGCCACCGGTCTCCAAATCACTTATTAGATTAAGAGTGTGTTTGTTTAAGAGTTGTGCCGGGCAGCTCACCTCACAAACAAACACACTCTAAATCGAGTGGGTGGGGAACCACTTCCAGAAATCTAGTCTATTATTAATTAGAGCATAGAACACAACTGACTGAATATAATTATGATGCATTCACCTTAGAGGGTTAATATTCGAGTTCCAAGCAGTGATAGTCAAACATCTTTCTAGGTCAATACAACGTTTTAGAAGTAGCTTTGCGTTCTCAAAGACAAAAACATTAGATACAAAATTCAAAATAGAACACAAGTTAGAAAATGTTACTACTTATCACAGGTGCCCATTGGATTTGCATTCTTGATTATCCATGGGTGCTCCAAGATCTTCTGAAGAGACAACCTCTTTGAAGAGTCCTTGACCAAAAGCTGCAAAAAAGAAATTACCCAGATCACATATTGAACCCCACAGTTATGCAATTCCATGTTGAGACAATACTAGTAAGGCAATACCGTTACTCTTAAAAAAAAAATTACCCGGGTGATGAGGTTCTTTGCTTCTGCAGAGACAGGAGGAGTGGAAGGAAAAGTAAGATCAACCTTCACAATCCTGCATCACAAAATTCACTTTCCACATAAATCCCAGTTCAATTCTCTACACAAATCAGACCAAATAACCCATTAAAACACAACCCTTCCCACCTTCTGAACGTATCACGCTGACTCTCAGCCTCAAAGGGAGGAGCCCCATAGAGGAACTCATAACAAAGAATTCCCAAAGTCCAGTTATCAACAGCATAATCATGAGCCTTATTCTCCACCATTTCCGGTGCCAAGTAATCCAAAGTTCCACACATAGTGTGTCTTTTGCTCCTCGATTGCACAGACCACCCGAAATCCGCAATTTTCAGTCGACCCTTCAAATGTTAGCATTCAACAAAGTTCTCAAATCAACAACAAAAAAAAAAGAGAGGATATTATCTGTTAATAGATAACCTCAAAATTGCTCATATTAATCTAAACTGCAATCGAAATATAAGCATACAAGGATTTAAACAAAATTAAGTACAATTATTTAATTAATCACAAATTCTGATTAAAAAACAAATAAGAGCAACACACCTCGTGATCAAGCAACAAATTTTCAGGCTTTATATCTCTGTGAATCACATCCTTCTCATGACAATACGCCAATGCATTCGCCAGACTCGCAACATACTGAAATTAATTAACAATAAAATGAATCATAATAATAATCAGTAAAAATAAATTGAGAGCGAGAGAGACGGACCGTGGCGGCTTTTTGCTCAGAGAGAGAA